CAGCGTTTGGATCACCCCTGATGAAGGCACTAGACAGGAGTGTCGAAACGTTGGGTCTATGAATTGTAACTTCTTCGGTTACATTCATTAAATCTGTAAACTGAGTACACTGTAAACTGTGTTCTTATCTTATTTAAATCAAGGCTCCAAATTTTGCTCTTCAAGGAGGTCGAGTCGTTCGAGACCTGTAGGGATCGACATACGTACGCTCTCACAAATGGAAGCCAACTGCGAAAAGAAAGAAAACATTTTGATAAAGGCCCTTTTAAAACAAAGAATTGATTCACTCACAGAACAATTCACACAAAAGAACGGCGCGATATAAAATCTCGAGAATGTTAAGAACCTCAGCTAACGCGTTCTGCCCATGTGCACTGTAAATAAGACTTCGTAAACTGAGTACAGATACTCAACTACTTGTTCACGCTCTCTCTAATGAAGAAGAACTGACCTAGATTTTTACTCCGCTTAAAAGATACTTATGTTTTGATTTGTTTCCAAACTTTTTGATCTGTTGATGTTAAACAACGGTACATTAATTGTCTTCATTGGCACAGTCTTTTTTTGTGGTTTTCTGTCTAAATTAGAGGCAATTATCTTTTTATTATGTGTGTTATCGGCTACAACAAATCAACATAAATACACGTTTTCGTCTTGGCAAGTTCTTGTTAAAAGTTATAGCCATGAATTACGAAACGCTTCACAAAAGCTTCAAGAATCCATGACTTTTCGCTCTCTGAGTGGATCATATTGATGTACATGAAACTTTTACCAAAATTTTGCAGGATAACTAAGAGATATTCAATATGTTATTTGCGAACACTTTCATTACAGATGTAAGCTGCAGTCACAGTGAGGTAAAATCCTTATGCGTAATAAACACTGCTATGACGCGTGCATGGGAAATGCATGTAGACTGACTGACTGACTGATTGACTAACTGACAGAGTAACTGACTACCTTACTGACTGATTGAATATCTTGCTGGTCAGTTGACAGACAGAAACCATAAATTGACAAATAAGAATCTTCGCAAAAGTCGCCTTATTATGAATTTCTTACTTTATAGGAAACCAGCCACCGATGGCGTAAATTCAACATATCAATTTGTAAACAACGGTTCTCCCTCCACCGGAGTTTCCAACCCTGAACTCGCGCCGTGACAGCTCTCTAAAGAACCACTGGTACGTCGATATTGTTCAGCGGCTGGAGGACTTAAGTTGGAGTTATCAGACAATGGAGGTGGAGTATGCTTTTCTGGAGAAGCTCATGGCAGAACAAAAAGAGGATCTGAAAAAAGCACAAAGCTGGAACAATCGTCTCAGAAATCAGCAAAGAGCGAAGATTGTCCACTAATGGCAGATAATCGGTGAACGTTCTAGCAAACTTTTAAGTCAGCTTGTAGTACTTTTTCAAAACATTTTGGTATTATCTGGTGGACAAGACCTTTGCATGGCTTCCGATGTAATCACAAATATGAGCTATAAGCCTTCGTACATCGATTGCCAACGCATCTTCAACGCACTTATGTTGTACTCAACTATACGAATCATCAAACCAATATTTTTCAAAGAGGTTGACAAAAAAACGTGTAGGGAACTCGGCTTTAGAAATGATTTAACTAAATCTAAACACAGAGAGCGGTTGGATCAAGAGTTCGGACACGATAAAAACTCTCCCTGTTAAAATTTAAACTCACGAGTAAAAGGCTTTTCAGAAGGTGAGATTAATTTAAATTTTCGCCTTTTTCCACATTTCTGAGGAAAGACCTTTAGTTCCAGCTTTAGATAAGATTTAGTAGCGACGATCCTGTAAAAAATGTAGAAATTTCATTTGAGAAAAAAATTTCTCGGTTCTTCCTTCTTTCCCTCTGTTTTTATCACCTAGGGTAGATCAGTTCTTGGATCATATATTAAAGATAATAAAATTAAATGTTGGAAAGTACAATTTCAGAAGGGTGAGATGATTAAAGCTTAACCATTTTTTTTTTTAAATTCCTCCAAGGAAACGATTGATTAATTGATTGATTGATTGATAGGAGGTTTCTCAGGTGTCATCGCATCTCTCATTGGCTGAAGTCGCTGCTGATTTCGGTTTGCGTCCATGTCGCACCATCTGTGTAGTCTTCTGCTTTCTTCGGCCTTCTTTTATTTTCTTTTAAACGCTTTTTTAATTAGACTTTTTACTAAATCATGATTTTGCTTTTCGCAAGAATGGTATCATTTGTAAGCAGCTACCCCGAATAAACGCCTGGAGAGAGTTAATGAGCGCCCAGTGCTTCGAATAAGCGGAAACTGAAATGCATCAGGGGAGTAAAACTATGGCTCACAAACTATAAATTCACTCCCATATGGTACATCGTCATCTTTTGTTATCATGTATCATTTAGTTGCAAAATAAATTAACTCCTTGCTAAAAGTGGTGAAAGTTCAAGAGGCACATAGCCTCGAATAAGGGCAGTAAGCGCCCACATCCGATAAACGTCCCGGCTCTCAAGGTCCAAAAATTTGATAAGCGCACAGGGCGCTTAAAACAAATAAAATACCGTACTTTTCAATGAAAGTCAGGCGCCACGTTGTTTATTATTCTTTTTAAATGAAAGTTTTTGCTATATGCAAAATCTCGTGAAGAGAAGAGTATTTGCTTTGTGTGAAGGTGAACTTTAGAGGTGGGAAAAGTTGTTTAAGATTTGAAACTTAATTATCACAGAAATGATATCATCCGTCATTTCTGTAAATTCTTCCAAAATTACATTTGGCGGAAGTAATTTCGTAATAAAAAGACTCTTCAAATAAAACGGCCCATGAAGGTGAAAAAATACCACAAACGAGTTGATAAATATTTTATCTAACTTTATTGGGATATTCAGACCGAGGTGTAATTTAGATATGTAATTTTCAGAGCTTTATTCATAACCCTCATGGATTTCGCTCGTCTCACATCTGCAGTTATTAACCACAAACTCATAGTGTGGTCTGCCTGTAATCTCACCGGGAGAGAGAGGTCACACAAAAACTTACATGGGATTGGGCTTGAGATCGATTGTAAACGTTTCCCAGTCCGACGGTCACCCAATTGCCCAGAAGAGCTTTCTTTACCCGAAATGCTGCGTAACAGGGCTTCTGCAAACCCGCTGCTTGTTTTTTTCCCAATTTCTAAAGCTGTCTTTCGCTTATTCTATGCTTTTAAACTGATCAAGTCAGCCTTATGACACGCGGCTTTCCGTCTAGTAGGAGAAGCCCTTTTCGATGGTGTCATTATTTTAGTAAATCTTTAGGAGCAACTGGAGGTTATGCCTCGTCGAAAGTTCGCCCCCAATCTTTGTGCGCAGTAAGGAATCGAGGAAATCGGTTGGTTTGAAGAAAGAACTTTAAACTTTAAAGTGGCCCAAAATATTTCGGAAATATTTTGGGCCACACATCGTTATGTAACAGATGGTTTAATAGTCTCATCAATTTTGCAACCCTAACAGTCATATAACAAAACAAAACAAAAATATAAAAAAAATTATTCTTTTTAGCAATTAAAATACAAATCTAACAACCCCTACCTACAAAATAGCGAAGCTAATCGAGACGGGAGAGAAACAAATACTAAAGTAAATTCTTCAGTGACAAGTTTGGCTGAAATAACGTATTTTATTAATCAAGAAACCGACAAGACGCCAATTGAACGATTACATGTGTTCAATAAAGTGTTTTAACACTTAAAAGGTAAATCCACAGGTTTTATTTTCATTTCCGATGTTAGTGGACTGGTGTGACTTGCGTCAGTGTCAGATAACATACCCCAGTGAATCTTTCGCTCGCCCAAGGTCTCGTTCATGTTCCTTTTTCTCTTTTTACAATGATGAGCACCATTGAGATTTGACGAAACAGCACAGTCAGTATTGTTGATGTACCACCAGCCTCCAAAAAACTTATGGGTACAATGCTTGTAAACTTTGTCCCGTGTACCAAACGGGGAGCCGTTATGATCACTGAGAGAATCTTTGACAGTCGCACATTCTAATAGAAATGATAAAACACCAATAATTATAACAATTATAGTCATAAAGTATAATGATAATGATGATGATGATGATGATAATGATGACGATACTCTTAATTTTAAATTTGACTTATATTGGAAACTCTGATTGGCAGAGAGAATTCAGTCCATATACAAAATCGTGTGAAGTTGACAGGATACCCGGTATCTGCAGCATATATTGCATTTATCAACTCCAGCTCAAAGTTTGCCTGGCTTCCAAGCTCCTTAAGCGTGTAGCGTTCTCAAACTTTTTCAAACTCAGAGAGAAGTGAAATTCCCTTACGTTTTAAATTTCAAATCAAATTTTTTTTCTCTCCATCTCCCCCTTGGTACCCCATTTTGTGTTCACACGTAGCGCGTGATTTTCACAAATTAGCCAATCGCATCAAAGAATTCTAACCTTGACTTTGAAACTGACGTGGATTCTTTCACGTATCTTTTTTTGTTGCTTTTCGGAATTCAAGTTCAAGCTTAACTTTCTATCATTTAAGTTAGTTACCCCTTTGTTTTGAAATGTAAAAGTTTCAGATAATTTATTCAAGCTAAATGTCGTGGTTAATTGAACAAGCTCCATATAAATTTTTTTACGGAGTTTGGAGTCCAGCCTCCTTTTCATAAAAGAATTTTTTACACTATCTTGTAGATTTTTATAAAAAATAGCCTGTAATAAAACAATTAATGAACTCTGTTCTCGCATCATATCATGAATTGTCAAACCACGTAGGTTTCTGTGAAATCTCCCTCAGCCCTCGGCTTCCATAGATAAGGTTTACCCGGATACAAATTACAAGTGTGATAGAAATCAGTTCTTAGGAGAAGCACGCACACATTACTGTAAATATTAATTTTTAATACAACCGTCACCTACATTATACATTTGATGCTTTTCTCATCCTCGCCTTCGTGCTGTTCTAGATAATGATTACCGAGAGAAAGCAGATTGACTCACTTGATTTGTTTCCGAGTTTCAGCCGATACTTGTCTTTCTTGTCTCCGATCCCAAACCACAAATATTCAGCGTAGACAGTTTTGCGTTTAGTTACTCCCAGATCTACTCGAAGCCTGTTTTCTGTCTCGTTTTGCGTCAGGCGATGGATCTTCTCCAGTCCGAGCCAAAACTCTCCATTAAGGAAATCACCGAAGCCTTTTTTGTAGTCTGCCCAACCCAGGTTAAAATCCATGCAACCATTCAGTCTCCTCTGAAACACTGTCCACCCTCCTCCGTCTGTGGTTTGGTCACAATACACATTGAAGGCACCTTTACCATCAGGGTCGATTGTGTAAACACCGCTGATCGTTTGGCCGCAGTTGTACAGCTCGGCGCAATTCTTATAATAAGCTGTTGAGGTAAAGATGGCTTGTGTGGGCTGTTTAAATATTGAATGTTTGTTAAGTAAAAAAAAATTCCCATTAAGAGTTCCCAAAAAGAGTCCATTATAATGGGCTCCTAGTTCAATTTGAAATTTCAGGCTAAGGCAGTGTCGGAATGAGAGTAACGATTGTACTGTATCCCGAAATGTCACCTTTTGATAAACTTCCTCTCCCTCCCTTTCACGTACTGTGCTACTTTCACGCTCTGGTCTCTCTCATTTGAATATGTGATATGATCCTATGGTTCTCACTGTCCAAATTCTCTCAGCTTATCGCAAAAATCGACATTTCTAACGTTTCTCGTCGTAATGCTGATCTTGCGTGTTTCAAATTTGCCTTTTTGCCAAAAGGCATTTAAATCAAGGCATTTTCCGCTTTGAAAAGCCTTGAAGCAAAGCCTTCCTCGGAAAATAACGGGAAGGATACAATAAGGATACAATAAGTTATTGTTTCGTGTTCAATGAGCTTTGTAATCCATTCGTACATCCTTCCCGTTATTTTCCGGACACAATGAGGCTTTTCAACGCGGAAAATGCCTTGATTTAAATGCCTTGATTTTAAGGCAAATTTGAAACACGCAAGAGAAGAAATAAAGTTTGGTTTTCTAGTACCAGAGCTTTACGGACAACACAAGTAACGAACATTGCAGGATGTGAAAGTCCATCTCGATCCCCCAATCTACGATTTTCTTTGCCAAAATACCGCTACTGAAGAACACCGCCACTCCCAATCCTCCCCTCCCCTCCCCCCTCAAGGTATCGACGGGCGCTTCAAAATGCCCACTGCTTAGCGTAACAGGATGACTCTAAAGTTCTGCAAAGTATAAAGAACAAACTCACTCCAATACATTGAAATTACGAAATACGATTTATCTCTTTTCTCTCGCATATGGCAAAGGAGATTTTAACAAGAAATTAAACGAGATTGATAAAATACCGAAAATCACGGTTTGTCCGTTTCAAACCAAACTTCTGCAATATAAAATTTGCAACCTTGATTCTCTAGCTTCCTCAAAAAACGCAGCACGCCGCTCCAATGTCGCTTCTGTTTTCCTCAAGCGTTTCCTATACTCATAGAAATAATCACCAACTTTTGCTGGGAGAATCTTACCTTCTTTCCAGCAGCTACCGGTGCTCTTCTTGCGGTCTACCACAGCGGCACTCGTTGAAGCTAAATTTTGGATCAACGCAAAAACAGTCACAAGCAGTAAATTAGGAGCTAGTCGTAAAGAACTCATTAGGCAATGCACCGGCTTCCTCCGGTTATTAGACGCAGATACAGTTTTGAAGGAAAGTATTACCGAACGCAAAGTCTTAAGGGCTAACGAGGGGGTCACTACTGCGTTTTATACCGCACATCAGTCGTCTTAAGCTGGCATTTATACCTCCTTAGGCGGTTGATTATCCTTTTTCTGGAATACTTGGGTTATTGTCATACCTCACGTAGAAAGTAAACTGAATTGATAAATAAATAAACTTACATGGTTTCTGCAGTCTCACCTTGAGGGGGACGCTACGGCTATACGTAGGCTCACTGAAGTGATTAATGAAGCCTCATATTAAACGCCACAGGGCAGATTTTAGGTTAAGAACTCATTACCGAATTGGCGTCACGTAGCACTTTATAGTTACTCAGGATCATTCAGTTACATGGGATCATTCACCACATTCACCACAATCTACAGCTTTTCACTAATTTTCCAATGTCGATGATGGCATATTAGTTTCACTGATATAAAGGATGAAGTCAGAGTAAAGAAATAGCTCAGAAAAACGTAACAATGTAGCACTGTGGCAATGCTTTCTGTAAATTACAGTTTTGATAAAGTGCCACCTACGATACTTATCGTTAATTTGCATAACTAGTGCTATCAAACGGGATAGTAACATGAATTTTTTTTCCTTTTATTTCTAGAATTTTTTAAGGGAATTAGTGCCCTTGTGGAATAAATCCAAAAAGTTTATGATTCCGCTCAAAAAGAGCAGGTTCGTAGTATTTTCCCTGTTTAAAAACTTTTTCCTCGCTGCTCTTAGAGCTACCACGGGCCAACCACACTATATTTTCGTGGTTAATAATTGTTGACATAGGACGAACAAAATCTAGAGGGTCATGAATAAAGCCCTGAAAATTGCAAATTTAAATTACATCTCGGTCTGAATATCTCTATAAAGTTAAATAAGCTGTTAATCAACTTATTTGTGGTATTTCTTTTAGCCTTCATTGGCCGTTTGAAGTGTCTTTTACCAAATTACTTCTGGCCGAAGGCTGTTGAGAGAAGGGAGACAAGGCTTGCAACTTAGTGGCCGACAGCCGCGACCTCCCCTACTTCAAACTGGAATTAATGCCTAAAAATCTCTCCTAACTGGTGACGGTTGTTGATCTCTGAGATATTGCTCTATGTCTTCGCCAAATTTGAGCTTCATCCCTCAGACATTTTCTGAGAAAATCGATCCTGAAATGAAAGAGTGTAGCTTTCTAAATATGATCGGTGCCAAACTCTGCGACCAAAGCATGCAGGCCGTTTCAAATTTTGTGCAGCAACTTCTCGTGGCAACCCTCCGTGGTTCAAAATCAGGCCGAGCGCTGATTACTTAATTTGAAAAGGCCTTCATCTTATCCTTCTACCGTTCCTATTTCTACAAGAACTTAAAATATATTGAAGTTCACACGGCAACCAGCTGGACAATCAGACATGGTTTGATGCTACTCTGGTTTACAGATTTAATGAATGTAACCCAAGAAGTTACAATTCATAGACCCAACGTTTCGACACTCCTGTCTGGTGCCTTCACCAGGGGTGAACTAAACGCTGCAACAAGAGGTCCTTTTATATGATCTCAAATTAGCTGCCTTTTTTTTTTTCTGACGAGGTGTAAACAGTCGTCAGGAAGCAAGCCGCCTTCGTCACGATTTAAAGAAGCGTGGGCGGAGTTGAAGTTAAAGTTGCTCAAAAACCTTTTCAGACTTTAGGGCATATTTTCGCCAAACTTAAGGAACCTATCACGAAAGAACAACAAACCGACGCCATTTATTCAATTCCAAGCAATGACTGTGACAACGAGTACATCAGACAGACCAAACGTTAGTTTGGTACACGTTTGAAAGAGCATCAACAAGCGGTTTTCTTTTACAAAAAGGAAAATTCAGCTTTATCGGAGCACACATGCCCAACTAACCATACAATTGAGTGGGATAATTCTACAATTATCACCACTAATTGGCGTTACCCACAGTATGAAATCGCAAATTTACGCATTTTTAACTCGGCTTACGTAAAGAAACGTAAATATAAAGCCTCTTCTTTACGGACAAGTTCCACGTTCCGTAAAGATGGGTAATTGCAAAGGAAGCGTAAAGACTGCGTAAAGGATATTAAATGTTCGTTAAGGATAAGGATCAAGATGGATATAATTAACCACTTTCAATTTGGAGAAATACTCAAAGAAGTGAAACAATTATGGCTCATCCATCTTCAGTAGAATTATCGAGGTATTTTGACCAGTTTCGCTTTTAACTTTTAACTCTTTACGCGTCTTTAATATTCTCTACGCATCTTTACTCACTGTTCTTTACGAACCTTTAAAATTCTTTAGCATTCTTTACGCACAATCAATCTTTACGTGCCATTAATTCTCTTTACGAATCCTCAACGACCCTTAACTTTTCCTTCGCATAATCAGTCTTTACGTGCTTTTAATTTTTTTTCCGCATCTGTATTCTGCCTTTTTCACCGGTTCTAAACTTTCTGTTCGCATAAATATGTTTAAACTACCCTTTTTTTAACGCGCGTTCAAACTCATGATCAGGAAGTTATCGTGATGAGACAATCATGTTTTTTTTTCCAGGAAATGGACCTTGCAATGACGTGTGGAAGCGTGATGCTCTAATGTTTGTAATAATAAGGTTGTCGAACTTTATGATCCGACTGTCGATGGTTTTAGTCCTCGGGACGTTTGCCGCAGATCGGCGGGAGAGTATAACAGGTGATTTAGTACAGTAAATGGTTTGAACCCGAGGTTAACATGTAATAGTGTAGTTTCATCGTCCGGGTGAGTGTAGTCCTGAGAAGGACTGTTGTCGGTTCTGGTGACTGACGTTTCGACAACCTGAGCGGAAGTCAAATTGTCAAGAATTTCCGACCTTTACTCCTGGCTTTACTTTTGGCGTGTGAAGTGATCTGTGGACTCTTTTCCTTTCAAAATGTCAAGAATTTCCGATCACATCAGCGTGAGCGACAGTTATACTGTGCTAATGGATGATTGTTTGAAAGAAAACCAATCATTGAGAGAGCAATTGAGGCAGCACGATGAAGAAAATGCCTTAGTTAAAGTTCGAAGAGCTTTCAAAAAAAGTGGACTCTTTGTGTAAACTTGTCGCCGAGAACAACTCGGGCAGCAAGGAAACGGAATCAAAGAAAGGTAACTCGAAGGTCCATGTGCCTATAAGCTGTGCGAAAACAATGAGACATTTTGTATATCTATGTAAAAATATTTATATTTATGATATTTGTATTTTTCAGTTCTTATCCCGTGCATATAAACCTTTAGCTACGTTACTGTGAATATTACAAAATCAAGTTAAAGAGTTATGACAATAAAATAAATTCCAATGTATAAAACACGTGTTGTTATATATGGGTCAGTCCTTGAAAGGCATGTGCGGCATCGTTTTACAGAAGCGTAAAATGTCGCAAACGTTCTCGATACGATTTTTGGAAATACGCACTAGGATAGCGCATTACGTTAATGTTGTCACTAGCTAACATTTGTTATAGTCTGATAAGCACAAGGGAATGTTGCCAAAAAATTCAGACGACTGCAAAATGGCAAATGGGCATGTAAATATTGTCCATTTACGATAGTTTAATGACGCGTAAAGATCGCCTTTCTGATCGCTTTACAGTCGCTGTAAAATATAGTAAATATTCTTTATACGAATTTTACAAGGCACGTAAAGATAACGTTTTTAGTCTCTCCGTGATCTTTACGTACTATCGTTTTCAAAGCGTGAAGACATTCTTTACGAGAGTGTAAAGAAGTTCTATAAGACGCGTATAAAGGATCTTACACTTACTTGACGGCATCTTTACGGATTCGTAAATTTATAATTTCATACTGTGACTACCAGTGCCTTTGTTTGGAGGCTTGGCATGTCAACTCCGCCCACGCCATTTAAAATCGTGACGATGGCGGCTTGCTTCCTGACGCCTATTTACACCTCGTGAGAAAAAAGCCAGCTACTTAGTGATCATGTAAGAGGACCTCTTGTTGCTGCGTTAGGATCACCCCTGATGAAGGCACTAGACAGGAGTGTCGAAACGTTGGGTCTATGAATTGTAACTTCTTCGGTTACATTCATTAAATCTGCAAACCAGAGTAGCATCAAACCATGTTTGATTGTCCACATAGTTGCCGTGTGAACTTTAATATATTTTATATCGATGCATGTTTCCAAGAAAAACGTCCCTTTACGTGAGCTCTGCCCGAAAAAGATGTCCCAACGTGAAGGAAATGCTAGAATAAACACAACAGATGATTTGGAACAATTTGGCCACAAACTGTGGCAGTTTTAATTAAATCAATTATGACTAAGTGATAACAAAGAGCGGAATATCTGAACTTATCAACCGATAATGTCAACGTGGGGTGACAAAAAACGCCACAAGCCACAAACTGTGGCTGAAGCCCCACAAAAACGAACAGACACGACAAATACAAATGAAAGAAAGAATAAAAATGCAAAGCTCACGTAATGGAGGGAAAGCAACTCTACACAAAAATCCATGAAGACTGCAGCCCATGTCTGAACAGTCCCATGTGACTAAAATCAAAGAGAGAATGCAATCCAAAAACGGCAGCCACTTGTCTGAACCCCCTGGAAAGCATTCAACTCATCGAGATAAGTAACATGAATGACCTGAAGTTATAAAGAGGAAGTGGGCAAAAAACACTAAAACATTTAATGTAACGGCAGAAAGCCTGCAAAAAAGCAGCCACTTGAAAAACCGGCATGACAACAACTTCGTAGCCCTTGACTGAACGAAGTGGCGCCCAAGACTGTAATGGTCTATCAATTAGTAGTAAGAATTTCGGAACGTAAATAAACTTTAAATGCATCCGATTTCCAGCGGCCAAGCGCACGAATTTGGGCATCAGAAAAACCATTGTCGGCAGCATGACAAGCGCCACCAATGCGAAAACTATGGCTTTTATAGCGGCTAAGATCGAGACCACAGTACGTTAAACACCTCTGAAGTTCTGTGTTGAATTGATGTAAAGACTTCTTCTTAGAAGCTCATGGTAACAACAACCTTTTGAGAGAAAGCCAATTCAGGGTTTTAAGAAAGTGCCAGAGCAAATTTGATTGCTTAGTATTTGAAATGCTCTTCATCAAGAAACTTAAGCCCAATTTAAATATTCAGACGGACTCCATACGTGCGAAACTCTTTGTTTGATATTTTCTCACGTTACAATTTTTTATCAGCTATTGTTGCTTTTTTAGTATTTATAGACCAAAAATCACTACTTATTTTGACTTGATAATGACGTTCAGCCAACGTCGAAACGTCGTCGCTTTTTAGCAATTTTTTTTAATCTTGAAATGATTTTAAGAAATGTTTTATCGCAATTTTTTATAGTGAAATGCTTTTCAAAATCACTTCTTGTTCGTAATGTAAAAAGAATTGCTAAATTGTTTTGTAACTGTGCGAGTATTTCTCATGAAGCCCATGTGTCTGATTGTTTATGGATCACGCTATTTAGGTGTCAACGTTTTTGCAAACGAGTGTAGACATTTTAAGCCAGATCATGGGAGAACAAACTTTCGAAAGCAGTATTCGGCTGAAAACGATCCAAAGCGCCAAAAAACTAAACAACCTAAATGACTGGCTTTAACAGACTACTATTTAGTTTGGAAAGTGGATACTTAAATGATTACACGATAGCTGTGTGTTACTCCGATTATAAGGCCTAAGTCCTGTTGGAAGTCAAACCATAGAAACTAAGTCAAAATTTAATAAACATTTTCTTCGGTTTTGTTTGTTTGTTTGTTTTTTTGTCGAGCGTGGGACAGGAAAACCTGAATCCAAACACATGCGACAAAAAGCAAAAGCATCTCACTTTCTTCAACGACTAAGCTTAAAATTTACCACCTTTCTTATCTTATTTAAATCAAGGCTCCAAATTTTGCTCTTCAAGGAGGTCGAGTCGTTTGAGACCTGCAGGGGTCGACATACGTTCGCTCTCACAAATGGAAGCCAACTGCGAAAAGAAAGAACACATTTTGAAAGAGACGCTTCTGAAACAAAGAACTGACTCACTCTCAGAACAATTCAAACAAAAAAACGGCGCGATATAAAATCTCGAGAATGTTAAGAACTTCAGCTAACGCGTTCTGCCCATGTACACTGTAAATAAGACTTCGTAAACTGAGTACAGATACTTAACTACTTCTTCACGCTCTCTCTAATGAAGAAGAACTTACTTAGATTTTTACTCCACTTAAAAGGTACTTATGTTGTGATTTGTTTCCAAACTTTTTGACTTGCTGATGTTAAACAACGGTACATTAATTGCCTTCATTAGTGCAGTCTTTTTTTGTGGTTTTCTGTCTAAATTAGAGGCAATTATCCTTTGATTATATGTGTGTTGTCGGCTCAAACAAATCAACATAAATACACGTTTTCGTCTTGGCAAGTTCTTGTTAAAAGTTATAGCCATGAATTACGAAACGCTTCACAAAAGCTTCAAGAATCCATGACAATTCTCTCTCTGAGTGGATCATAATGATGCATATGAAACTTTTGCCAAAATTTTGCAGGATTACGAAGTGATATTCAATATGTTATTTGCGAATGCTTTCATTACAGATGTAAGCTGCAGTCACAGTGAAGTAAAATCCTTATGCGTAATAAACACTGCTATGACGCGTGCATGGGAAATGCATGTAGACTGACTGACTGATTGACTAACTGACAGAGTAACTGACTACCTTACTGACTGATTGACTATCTTGCTGGTCAGTTGACTGACAAAAACCATAGACTGACAAATAAGAATCTTCGCAAAAGTCGCCTTATTATGAATTTCTTCCTTCATAGGAAACCATGGCCACCGATGGCGTAAATTCAACACATCAATTTGTAAACTAAGACAAAATGGTTCTCCTTCCATCGGAGTTTCCAACCCTGAACTCACGCTGTGACAGCTCTCTAAAGAACCACTGGTACGTCGATATTGTCCAGCGGCTAGAGGACTTAAGTTGGAGTTATCAGACAATGGAGGTGGAGTATGCTTTTCTGGAGAAGCTCATGGCAGAACAAAAAGAGGATCTGAAAAAAGCACAAAGCTTGAACAATCGTCTCAGAAATCAGCAAAGAGCGAAGATTGCCCACTAATGGCGGATGATCGGTGAACGTTCTAACAAACTTTTAAGTCAGTTTCTAGTACTTTTTCAAAACATTTTGGTATTATCTGGTGGACAAGACCTTTGCATGGCTTCTGATGTAATCACAAATATGAGTTATAAGCCTTTGTACATCGATCGCCAAAGCATCTTCAACGCATTTATGTTGTACTCAACTATACGGATCATCCAATCAATATTTTTCAGAGAGGTTGACAAAAAAACGTGTAGGGAACTCGGCTTTGGAAATGATTTAAGTAAATCTAAACACAGAGAGCGGTTGGATCAAGAGTTCGGGCGAGATAAAAATTCTCCCTGTTAAAATGTAAACTCAAGAGTAAAAGGCTTTTCAGAAGGTGGGACTAATTTTAAATTTTCGCCTTTTTTCACGTTTCTGAGGAAAAACCTTTAGTTCGAGCTTGAGATAAGGTTTAGTAATGACGATCCTGTAAAAATGTACAAAACTCATTTGAGAAAAAAATTTCTCGGTTCTTCCTTCTTTCCATCTGTTTTTATCACCTAGGGTAGATCAGTTCTTGGATCATATATTAAAGATAATAAAATAAAATGTTGGTGAGTACAATTTCAGAAGGATGAGATGATTAAAGCTTAACCATTTTTTTTTTTAATTCCTCTAAGGAAACGATTGATTGGTTGTTTGATTGATTGATTGATTGATTGTTTGATTGATTGATTGATAGGAGATTTCTCGGGTGTCATCGTATCTCTCATCGGCTGAAGTCGCTGGTGATTACGGTTTGCGTCCATGTCGCACCATCTGTATAGTCGTCTGCTTTCTTCAGCCTTCTTTTATTTTCTTTTAAACGCTTTTTTATTTAGACTTTTTACTAAATCATGATTTTTCTCTTCGCAAGAATGTTATCATTTGTAAGCAGCTGCCCCGAATAAACGCCCAGAGAGAGTTAATGAGCGCCAAGCGTTTCGAATAAGCGGAACTGAAATGCATCAGGGGAGCATTAAAATTTCATTACTGGCTCACAAACTATAAATTCACTCCCCTGTGGTACATCGTCACCTTTTGTTATCATGTATTATTTAGTTGCAAAATAAATTAACTCCTTTCTAAAAGTGGTGAAAATTGAAGAGGCGCCTAGAGGGTGGGAAAAGTTGTTTAAGATTTGAAACTTAATTATCACAGAAATGATATTATCCGTCATTTCTGTAAATTCTTCCAAAATTACGTTTAGAGAAACAAATACTAAAGCAAATTCTTCATTAACAAGTTTGACTGAAATAACGTATTTTATTAATCAAGAAACCGACTAGGTGCCAAGTGAACGATTACATGTGTTCAATAAAGTGTTTTAACACTTAAAAGGTAAATCCACAGGTTTTATTTTCATTTCCGATGTTAGTGGACTGGTGTGACTTGCGTCAGTGTCAGATAACATACCCCAGTGAATCTTTAGCTCGCCCAAGGTCTTGTTCATGTTCCTTTTTCTCTTTTTACAATGATGAGCACCATTGAGATTTGACGAAACAGCACAGTCAGTATTCTTGATGTACCACCAGCCTCCAAACATCTTATGGGTACAATGCTTGTAAACTTTGTCCCGCGTACGAAACGGGGAGCCGTTATGATCACTAAGAGAATCTTTGACAGTCGCAGAGTCTAATAGAAATGATAAAACACCAATAATTATAACAATTATAGTCATAAAGTATAATGATAATGATGATGATGATGATGATAATGATGACGATACTCTTAATTTTAAATTTGACTTATATTGGAAACTCTGATTGGCAGAGAGAATTCAGTCCATATACAAAATCGTGTGAAGTTGACAGGATAACCCGATATCTGCAGCATATATTGCATTTATCAACTCCAGCTCAAAGTTTTCCTGGTTTCCAAGCTCCTTAAGCGTGTACCGTTCTCAAACATTTTCAAACTCAGAGAGAAGTGAAATTCCCTTACGTTTTAAATTTCAAATCAAATTTTTTTTCTCTCCATCTCCCCCTTGGTACTCCATTTTGTGTTCACACGTGGCGCGTGATTTTCACAAATTAGCCAATCGCATCAAAGAATTCTAACCTTGACTTTGAAACTGACATGGATTCTTTCATGTATCTTTTTTTGTTGCTTTTCGGAATTCAAGTTCAAGCTTAACTTGCTATCACTTAAGTTCGTTACCCCTTTGTTTTGAAATGTAAAAGTTTCAGATAATTTATTCAAGCTAAATGTCGTGGTTAATTGAACAAGCTCAATATAAATTTTTTTTACGGAGTTTGGAGTCCAGCCTCCTTTTCATAAAAGAATTTTTTACTCTATCTTGTAGATTTTTATAAAAAATAGCCTGTAATAAAACAATTAATGAACTCTGTTCTCGCATCATATCATGAATTGTCAAACCACGCAGGACTCTGTGAAATCTCCCTCAGCCCTCGGCTTCCATAGATAAGGTTTACCCGGATACAAATTGCAAGTGTGATAGAAATCAGTTCTTAGGAGAAACACGCACACATTACTGTAAATATTAATTTTTAATACAACCGTCACCTACATTATACATTTGATGTTTTTCTCATCCTCGCCTTCGTGCTGTTCTAGATAATGATTACCGAGAGAAAGCAGATTGACTCACTTGATTTGTTTCCGAGTTTCAGCCGATAGTTGTCTTTCTTGTCTCCGATCCCAAACCACAAATATTCAGCGTAGACAGTTTTGCGTTTAGTTACTCCCAGATCTACTCGAAGCCTGTTTTCTGTCTCGTTTTGCGTCAGGCGATGGATCTTCTCTAGTCCGAGCCAAAACTCTCCAATTAGGAAATCACCGAAGCCTTTTTTGTAGTCTGCCCAACCCAGGTTAAAATCCATGCAACCATCCAGTCTTCTCTGAAACACTGTCCACCCTCCTCCGTCTGTGGTTTGGTCACAATACACATTGAAGGCACCTTTACCATCAGGGTCGATTGTGTAAACACCGCTGATCGTTTGGCCGCAGTTGTACAGCTCGGCGCAATTCTTATAATAAGCTGTTGAGGTAAAGATGGCTTGTGTGGGCTGTTTAAATATTGAATGTTTGTTAAGTAAAAAAAAATTCCCATTAAGAGTTCCCAAAAAGAGTCCATTATAATGGACTCCTAGTTCAATTTGAAATTTCAGGCTAAGGCAGTGTCGGAATGAGAGTAACGATTGTACTGTATCCCGAAATGTCACCTTTCGATAAACTTCCCCACCCTCCCTTTCACATACTGTGCTACTTTCACGCTCTGGTCTCTCTCATTTGAATATGTGATATGATCCTATGGTTCTCACTGTCCAAATTCTGTCAGCTTATCGCAAAAATCGACATTTCTAACGTTTCTCGTCGTAATGCTGATCTTGCGTGTTTCAAATTTGCCTTTTTGCCAAAAGGCATTTAAATCAAGGCATTTTCCGCTTTGAAAAGCCTCATTATGTCCGGAAAATAACGGGAAGGATACAATAAGGATACAATAAGTTATTGTTTCGTGTTCAATGAGCTTTGTAATCCATTCGTACATCCTTCCCGTTATTTTCCGGACACAATGAGGCTTTTCAACGCGGAAAATGCCTTGATTTAAATGCCTTGATTTTAAGGCAAATTTGAAACACGCAAGAGAAGAAATAAAGTTTGGTTCTCTAGTACCAGAGCTTTACGGACAACACAAGTAACGAACATTGCAGGATGTGAAAGTCCATCTCGATCCCCCAATCTACGATTTTCTTTGCCAAAATACCGCTACTGAAGAACACCGCCACTCCCAATCCTCCCCTCCCCTCCCCCCTCAAGGTATCGACGGGCGCTTCAAAATGCCCACGGCTTAGCGTAACAGGATGACTCTAAAGTTCAGCAAAGTATAAAGAACAAACTCACTCCAATACATTGAAATTGTGAAATACGATTTATCTCTTTTCTCTCGCATATGGCAAAGGAGATTTTAACAAGAAATTAAACGAGATTGATAAAATACCGAAAATCACGGTTTGTCCGTTTCAAACCAAACTTCCGCAATATAAAATTTGCAACCTTGATTCTCTAGCTTCCTCAAAGAACGCAGCACGCCGCTCCAATGTCGCTTCTGTTTTCCTCAAGCGTTTCCTATACTCATAGAAGTAATCACCAACTTTTGCTGGGAGAATCTTACCTTCTTTCCAGCAGCTACCGGTGCTCTTCTTGCGTTCTACCACAGCGGCACTCGTTGAAGCTAAATTTTGGATCAACGCAAAAACAGTCACAAGCAGTAAATTAGGAGCTAGTCGTAAAGAACTCATTAGGCAATGCACCGGCTTCCTCCGGTTATTAGACGTAGATACAGTTTTGAAGGAAAGTATTACGCAAAGTCTTAAGGGCTAACGAGGGGGTCACTACTGCGTTTTATACCGCACATCAGTCGTCTTAAGCTGGCATTTATACCTCCTTAGGCGGTTGATTATCCTTTTTCTGGAATACTTGGGTTATTGTCATACCTCACGTAGAAAGTAAACTGAATTGATAAATAAATAAACTTACATGGTTTCTGCAGTCTCACCTTGCGGGGGACGCTACGGCTATACGTAGGCTCACTGCAGTGATTAATGAAGCCTCATATTAAACGCCACAGGGCAGATTTTAGGTTAAGAACTCATTACCGAATTGGCGTCACGTAGCACTTTATAGTTACTCAGGATCATTCAGTTACATGGGATCATTCACCACATTCACCACAATCTACAGCTTTTCACTAATTTTCCAAAGTCGATGATGGCATACTAGTTTCACTGATATAAAGGATGAAGTCAGAGTAAAGAAATAGCTCAGAAAAACGTAACAATGTAGAACTATGTAGCACTGTGGCAATGCTTTCTGTAAATTACAGTTTTGATAAAGTGCCACCTACGATACTTATCGTTAATTTGCATAACTAGTGCTATCAAACGGGATAGTAACATGAATTTTTTTTCCTTTTATTTCTAGAATTTTTTAAGGGAATTAGTGCCCTTGTAGAATAAATCCAAAAAGTTTATGATTCCGCTCAAAAAGAGCAGGTTCGTAGTATTTTCCCTGTTTAAAAACTTTTTCCTCGCTGCTCTTAGAGCTACCACGGGCCAACCACACTATATTTTCGTGGTTAATAATTGTTGACATAGGTCGAACAAAATCTAGAGGGTCATGAATAAAGCCCTGACAATTGCAAATTTAAATTACATCTCGGTCTGAATATCTCTATAAAGTTAAATAAGCTGTTAATCAACTTATTTGTGGTATTTCTTTTAGCCTTCATTGGCCGTTTGAAGTGTCTTTTACCAAATTACTTCTGGCCGAAGGCTGTTGAGAGAAGGGAGACAAGGCTTGCAACTTAGTGGCCGAAAGCCGCGACCTCCCCTACTTCAAACTGGAATTAATGCCTAAAAATCTCTCCTAACTGGTGACGGTTGTTGATCTCTGAGATATTGCTCTATGTCTTCGCCAAATTTGAGCTTCATCCCTCAGACATTTTCTGAGAAAATCGATCCTGAAATGAAAGAGTGTATCTTTCTAAATATGATTGGTGCCAAACTCTGCGACCAAAGCATGCAGGCCGTTTCAAATTTTGTGCAGCAACTTCCCGTGGCAACCCTCCCTGGTTCAAAACCAGGCCGAGCGCCTAATTTGCTTAATTTGAAAAGGCCTTCATCCTATCCTTCTACCGTTCCTATTTCTACAAGAACTTAAAATATATTGAAGTTCACACGGCAACCAGCTGGACAATCAGACATGGTTTGATGCTACTCTGGTTTACAGATTTAATGAATGTAACCCAGGAAGTTACAATTCATAGACCCAACGTTTCGACACTCCTGTCTTTATATGATCTCAAATTAGCTGCCTTTTTTTTTCTGACGAGGTGTAAACAGTCGTTAGGAAGCAAGCCGCCCTCGTCACGATTTAAAGAAGCGTGGGCGGAGTTGAAGTTAAAGTTGCTCAAAAACCTTTTCAGATTTTGGGGCATATTTACGCCAAACTTAAGGAACCTATCACGAAAGAACAACGAAGCGACCCCATTTATTCAATTCCCAGCAATGACTGTGACAACGAGTACATCAGACAGACCAAACGTTAGTTTGGTACACGTTTGAAAGAGCATCAACAAGCGGTTTTCTTTTACAAAAAGGAAAATTCAGCTTTATCGGAGCACACATGCCCAACTAACCATACAATTGAGTGGGATAATTCTACAATTATCACCACTAATTGGCGTTACCCACAGTATGAAATCGCAAATTTACGCATTTTTAACTCGGCTTACGTAAAGAAACGTAAATATAAAGCCTCTTCTTTACGGACAAGTTCCGCGTTTCGTAAAGATGCGTAATTGCAAAGGAAGCGTAAAAACTGCGTAAAGGATATTAAATGTTCTTAAAGGATAAGGATCAAGATGGATATAATTAACCACTTTCAATTTGGAGAAATACTCAAAGAAGTAAAATAATTATGATTCATCCATCTTCAGTAGAGTTATCGAGGTATTTTGACCAGTTTCGCTTTTAACTCTTTACGCGTCTTTAATATTCTTTACGCATCTTTACTCACTGTTCTTTACGAACCTTTTAAATCCTTTAACATTCTTTACGCACAATCAATCTTTACGCGCCATTAATTCTCTTTACGAATCCTCAACGACCCTTAACTTTTCCTTCGCATAATCAGTCTTTACGTGCTTTTAATTCTTTTTCAGCATCTGTATTCTGTCTTTTACACCGGTTCTAAACTTTCTGTTCGCATAAATATGTTTAAACTACCCTTTTTTTAACGAGCATTCAAACTCATGATCAGGAAGTTGTCGTGATGAGACAATCATGTTTTTTTCCAGCAAATGGACCTTGCAATGACGTGTGGAAGCGTGATGCTCTAATGTTTGTAATAATAAGATTGTCGAACTTTAAGATCCGACTGTCAATGGTTTTAGTCCTCGGGACGTTTGATGAAGAGTCCCTGGCGACGAAAATACATAGAAACGAGGCTGACGCAGATCGGCGAGAGAGTATAACAGGTGATTTAGTACAGCAAATGGTTTGAACCCGAGGTTAACATGTAATAGTGTAGTTTGATCGTCCGGGTGAGTGTAGTCCTGAGAAGGACTGTTGTCGATAATGGTGACTGACGTTTCGACAACCTGAGCGGAAGTCAAATTGTCAAGAATTTCCGACCTTTACTCCTGGCTTTACTTTTGGCGTGTGAAGTGATCTGTGGACTCTTTTTCTTTCAAAATGTCAAGAATTTCCGACCACATCAGCGTGAGAGACAGTTATACTGTGCTATTGGATGATAGTTTGAAAGAAAACCAATCATTGATAGAGCAATTGAGGCAGCACGATGAAGAAAATGCCTTAGTTAAAGTTCGAAGAGCTTTCAAAAAAAGTGGACTCTTTGTGTAAACTTGTCGCCGAGAACAACTCGGGCAGCAAGGAAACGGAATCAAAGAAAGGTAACTCAAAGGTCCATGTGCCTATAAGCTGTGCGAAACCGACGAGACATTTTGTATATCTATGTAAAAATATTTATATTTATGATATTTGTATTTTTCAGTTCTTTTCCCGTGTATATAAACCTTTAGCTACGTTACTGTGAATATTACAAAATCAAGTTAAAGAGTTACGACAATAAAATAAATTGCAATGTATAAAACACGTGTTGTTATATATGGGTCAGTCCTTCAAAGGAATGTGCGGCATCGTTTTACAGAAGCGTAAAATGTCGCAAACGTTCTCGATACGATTTTTGGAAATACGCACTAGGATAGCGCATTACGTTGATGTTGTCACTAGCTCACATTTGTTATAGTCTGATAAGCACAAGGGAATGTTGCCAAAAAATTCAGACAGCTGCAAAATGGCAAATGGGCATGTAAATATTGTCCATTTACGATAGTTTAATAACGCGTGAAGATCGCCTTTCTGATCGCTTTACAGTCACTGTAAAATATAGTAAATATTCTTTATACGAATTTTACAAGGCACGTAAAGATAACGTTTTTAGTCTCTCCGTGATCTTTACGTACTATCGTTTTCAAAGCGTGAAGACATTCTTTACGAGAGTGTAAAGAAGTTCTATAAGACGCGTATAGAGGATCTTACACTTACTTGACGGCATCTTTACGGATTCGTAAATTTATAATTTCATACTGTGACTACCAGTGCCTTTGTTTGGAGGCTTGACATGTCAACTCCGCCCACGCTCCTTAAAATCGTGACGATGGCGGCTTGCTTCCTGACGCCTATTTACACCTCGTCAGAAAAAAGGCAGCTAATTAGTGATCATGTAAGAGGACCTCTTGTTGCAGCGTTAGGATCACCCCTGATGAAGGCACTAGACAGGAGTGTCGAAACGTTGGGTCTATGAATTGTAACTTCTTCGGTTACATTCATTAAATCTGCAAACCAGAGTAGCATCAAACCATGTTTGATTGTCCATATGGTTGCCGTGTGAACTTTAATATATTTTATATGCACGTCTATTTGTCGGTGGTCATCGAAATCCTGCTGCCTGTTGGTAACCATGGAGACAAATAAGACAAGAGCAGTCAAAATAGTAAGCCAAACTCAAAGATTAGAATAAATCCCAATCTTAGCAGTAAAAATAATATACCTGTCATGATAATATACACTTGATTTTGCAACTTTTAAATATCCAAGGCCCTTGAATTCCAAATATGCAAAGCAAATTTTCGAAACTATAAATTTTGTCGATTCTCGCTGGTATCTTGATATACCTAATGGAGGTTGAGTCCTAAAATTCTGTTTCAACGGGTCCTTTGTTGATTGCTAAATGCAATCTCGATCAAGTTTTCCCTCACTGAACATGTCTCGCTCGCAGTATGTCACACCAAAGTCTAAAACTCCTCGAGTTAGATCAGTGGGATTGCCGTTAAAATCTGTTCCTGAAGAACAGGTTAAATATGTCTCAGCAGTGATGGTAGGTTGAATATAACAGTACGTAGTTGCTCATAACAGTCATTTAAACGCGCAGCATCTTCTTGGAACAGATCCCTATTTGTGCTAATTTTTTGAAGATATTACGAACTTAATTTGATGTTTTAGTTTTTGTTGCCTTTTAAATTTATTTTTCTGCGAACAGGAGCCGCGAAACAAGTCCAAGCAAGGTAGGGAACATGATAATTTGAACTGTAGCTATTTTGATTTTCCCGTGACACTTCGCTTGAGCTAAAAAAACAGAGAAAAGAAAGCTAGTATATTTTCCTTAACCAAAAGGCTTAAGGAAAATTAGAATAAAAATCTTCGAGCTAATTTACAACAGAACTATTGTTGCATCAGGCAGTTTGTACAAAATTTTTGGTTGGAGGTAGTTTTACTCAAGCCATTATGCCAGAAACGTCCAAATTGTTTATGCTAAGGAATATTTGTTCATTATCGTTTGGTTGCGAAAAGAAAAACCAAAGCATGTGCCAAATCAAACTGCCACTAAATCAAAAAACTCAACCAAAACTTCCCGATTCGCCAAGTTTTATTTTTATTTTTTTCATTTTGAATATTTATGTTGATTTCGACAAATTCGTCTCGACGTCTTCGCTGCAGGAACATACTTGTTGAAAAGAATGACAATAAGGTGCACTTGCATTACTAGAAAAAAAAGTGAAATGAGATTTCTCTATTGTTGGAAAATTTGCTCTCAAACATGTAGAAGAGAAGTCGGTGAAAAATGAAAGGGAAATTTTTTATACCGTACGGGATATGTTAAAAATAATAATTGTTCTTAAATGAGAAGCCTAAAGTAAACTAGAAATATCGATGACAACATTGATACCCGAAGAGGATCTACCTCGATAGATTAGTTCAAATTCAATATTGTTTTGGGCGGGAATACCGCTGACTGGTACATTAAAATGCAAATTCAGAAAGGCTTGATAATTATTTCTCGTTAACCCTGTACTGATTTTGCCCCAAAACTCTTTGGTTAAAGAACCACAAGTGGTTGCACGTGATAAAGAAAAGAGTTATTGTAAACAAAGATTTTCATGAATAATGTAAAAAGAACTGCTAAATTGTTATGTAACTGTGCGAGTACTTCTCATGAAGCCCATGTGTCTGATTGTTTATGGATCACGCTATTTAGGTGTCAACGTTTTTGCAAACGAGTGTAGACATTTTAAGCCAGATCATGGGAGAACAAAGTTTCGAAAGCAGTATTCGGCTGAAAACGATCCAAAGCGCCAAAAAACTAAACAACCTAAATGACTGGCTTTAACAGACTACTATTTAGTTTGGAAAGTGGATACTTAAATGATTACACGATAGCTGTGTGTTACTCCGATTATAAGGCCTAAGTCCTGTTGGAAGTCAAACCATAAAAACTAAGTCAAAATTTAATAAACATTTTCTTCGGTTTTGTTTGTTTGTTTGTTTTTTTGTCGAGCGTGGGACAGGAAAACCTGAATCCAAACACATGCGACAAAAAGCAAAAGCATCTCACTTTCTTCAACGACTAAGCTCAAAATTTTCCACCTTTCTTATCTTATTTAAATCAAGGCTGCAAATTTTGCTCTTCAAGGAAGTCGAGTCGTTTGAGACCTGCAGGGGTCGACATACGTTCGCTCTCACAAATGGAAGCCAACTGCGAAAAGAAAGAAAACATTTTGAAAGAGACGTTTTTAAAACAAAGAATTGACTCACTCACAGAACAATTCACACAAAAGAACGGCGCGATATAAAATCTCGAGAATGTTAAGAACTTCAGCTAACGCGTTCTGCCCACGTACACTGTAAATAAGACTTCGTGAACTGACTACAGATACTCAACTACTTCTTCACGCTCTCTCTAATGAAAAAGAACTTACCTAGATTTTTACTCAACTTAAAAGGTACTTATGTTGTGATTTGTTTCCAAACTTTTTGACCTGTTGATGTTAAACAACGGTACATTAATTGCCTTCATTAGCACAGTTTTTTTTGTGGCTTTCTGTCTAAATTAGAGGCAATTATCCTTTGGTTATGTGTGTTATCGGCTGAAACAAATCAACATAAATACACGTTTTCGTATTGGCAAGTTCTTGTTAAAAGTTATAGCCATGAATTACGAAACGCTTCACAAAAGCTTCAAGAATCCATGACAATTCGCTATTGGGGTGGATCATATTGATGCACATGAAAATTTTGCAGGATAACTAAGTGATATTCAATATGTTATTTGCGAACACTTTCATTATAGATGTAAGCTGCAGTCACAGTGAGGTAAAATCCTCATGTGTAATAAACACTGCTATGACGCGTGCATGGGAAATGCATGCAGACTGACTGACTGATTGACTAACTGACAGAGTAACTGACTACCTTACTGACTGATTGACTATCTTGCTGGTCAGTTGACTGACAAAAACCATAAATTGACAAATAAGAATCTTCGCAAAAGTCGCCTTATTATGAATTTCTTACTTCATAGGAAACCATGGCCACCGATGGCGTAAATTCAACAAATCAATTTGTAAACAATGACAAAATGGTTCTCCCTCCATCGGAGTTTCCAACCCTGAACTCACGCCGTGACAGCTCTCTAAAGAACCACTGGTACGTCGATATTGTCCAGCGGCTAGAGGACTTAAGTTGGAGTTATCAGACAATGGAGGTGGAGTATGCTTTTCTGGAGAAGCTCATGGCAGAACAAAAAGAGGATCTGAAAAAAGCACAAAGCTGGAACAATCGTCTCAGAAATCAGCAAAGAGCGAAGATTGCCCACTAATGGCGGATGATCGGTGAACGTTCTAATAAACTTTTAAGTCAGTTTGTAGTACTTTTTCAAAACATTTTGGTATTATCTGGTGGACAAGACCTTTGCATGGCTTCTGATGTAATCACAAATATGAGTTATAAGCCTTTGTACATCGATCGCCAAAGCATCTTTAACGCATTTATGTTGTACTCAACTATACGGATCATCCAATCAATATTTTTCAGAGAGGTTGACAAAAAAACGTGTAGGGAACTCGGCTTTGGAAATGATTTAACTAAATCTAAACACAGAGAGCGATTGGATCAAGAGTTCGGGCAAGATAAAAATTCTCCCTGTTAAAATGTAAACTCAAGAGTAAAAGGCTTTTCAGAAGGTGGGACTAATTTAAATTTTCGCCTTTTTTCACGTTTCTGAGGAAAAACCTTTAGTTCGAGCTTGAGATAAGGTTTAATAATGACGATCCTGTAAAAATGTAGAAAACTCATTTGAGAAAAAAAATTCTCGGTTCTTCCTTCTTTCCATCTGTTTTTATCACCTAGGGTAGATCAGTTCTTGGATCATATATTAAAGATAATAAAATCAAATGTTGGTGAGTACAATTTCAGAAGGATGAGATGATTAAAGCTTAACCATTTTTTTTAATTCCTCTAAGGAAACGATTGATTGGTTGTTTGATTGATTGATTGATTGATTGATTATTTGATTGATTGATTGATTGATTGATTGATAGGAGATTTCTCGGGTGTCATCTTATCTCTCATCGGCTGAAGTCGCTGGTGATTACGGTTTGCGTCCATGTCGCACCATCCGTGTAGTCTTCTGCTTTCTTCGGCCTTCTTTTATTTTCTTTTAAACGCTTTTTTATTTAGACTTTTTACTGAATCATGCTTTTTTTTCTTCTTCAAGAAGAATGTTATCATTTGTACGCAGCTGCCCCGAATAAACGCCCAGAGAGAGTTAATGAGCGCCCAGCGTTTCGAATAAGCGGAACTGAAATGCATCAGGGGTGCATTAAAATTTCATTATTGGCTCACAAACTATAAATTCACTCCCCTGTGGTACATCGTCACCTTTTGTTATCATGTATTATTTAGTTGCAAAATAAATTAACTCCTTTCAAAAAGTGGTGAAAATTGAAGAGGCGCCTAGAGGGTGGGAAAAGTTGTTTAAGATTTGAAACTTAATTATCACAGAAATGATATTATCCGTCATTTCTGTAAATTCTTCCAAAATTACGTTTAGAGAAACAAATACTAAAGCAAATTCTTCAATAACAAGTTTGGCTGAAATAACGTATTTTATTAATCAAGAAATCGACTAGGTGCCAAGTGAACGATTACATGTGTTCAATAAAGTGTTTTAACACTTAAAAGGTAAATCCACTGGTTTTATTTTCATTTCCGATGTTAGTGGACTGGTGTGACTTGCGTCAGTGTCAGATAACATACCCCAGTGAATCTTTCGCTCGCCCAAGGTCTCGTTCATGTTCCTTTTTCTCTTTTTACAATGATGAGCACCATTGAGATTTGACGAAACAGCACAGTCAGTATTGTTGATGTACCACCAGCCTCCAAACATCTTATGGGTACAATGCTTGTAAACTTTGTCCCGGGTACGAAACGGGGAGCCGTTATGATCACTGAGAGAATCTTTGACAGTCGCACAGTCTAATAGAAATGATAAAACACCAATAATTATAACAATTATAGTCATAAAGTATAATGATAATGATGATGATGATGATGATAATGATGACGATACTCTTAATTTTAAATTTGACTTATATTGGAAACTCTGATTGGCAGAGAGAATTCAGTCCATATACAAAATCGTGTGAAGTTGACAGGATAACCCGATATCTGCAGCATATATTGCATTTATCAACTCCAGCTCAAAGTTTGCCTGGTTTCCAAGCTCCTTAAGCGTGTAGCGTTCTCAAACTTTTTCAAACTCAGAGAGAAGTGAAATTCCCTTACGTTTTAAATTTCAAATCAATTTTTTTTTTCTCTCCATCTCCCCCTTGGTACTCCATTTTGTGTTCACAAGTGGCGCGTAATTTTCACAAATTAGCCAATCGCATCAAAGAATTCTAACCTTGTTTTTGAAACTGACGTGGATTCTTTCCCGTATCTTTTTTTGTTGCTTTTCGGAATTCAACTTCAAGCTTAACTTTCTATCTCTTAAGTTCGTTCCCCCTTTGTTTTGAAATGTAAAAGTTTCAGATAATTTATTCAAGCTAAATGTCGTGGTTAATTGAACAAGCTCAATATAATTTTTTTTTACGGAGTTTGGAGTCCAGCCTCCTTTTCATAAAAGGATTTTTTACACTATTTTGTAGATTTTTATAAAAAATAGCCTGTAATAAGACAATTACTGAACTCTGTTCTCGCATCATATCATGAATTGTCAAACCACGTAGGTTTCTGTGAAATCTCCCTGAGCCCTCGGCTTCCATAGATAAGGTTTACCCGGATACAAATTGCAAGTGTGATAGAAATCAGTTGTTAGGAGAAGCACGCACACATTACTGTAAATATTAATTTTTAATACAATCGTCACCTACATTATACATTTGATAATTTTCTCATCCTCGCCTTCGTGCTGTTCTAGATAATGATTACCGAGAGAAAGCAGATTGACTCACTTGATTTTGTTCCGAGTTTCAGCCGATACTTGTCTTTCTTGTCTCCGATCCCAAACCACAAATATTCAGCGTAGACAGTTTTGCGTTTAGTTACTCCCATATCTACTCGAAGCCTGTTTTCTGTCTCGTTTTGCGTCAGGCGATGGATCTTCTCTAGTCCGAGCCAAAACTCTCCATTAAGGAAATCACCGAAGCCTTTTTTGTAGTCTGCCCAACCCAGGTTAAAATCCATGCAACCATCCAGTCTCCTCTGAAACACTGTCCACCCTCCTCCGTCTGTGGTTTGGTCACAATACACATTGAAGGCACCTTTACCATCAGGGTCGATTGTGTAAACACCGCTGATCGTTTGGCCGCAGTTGTACAGCTCGGCGCAATTCTTATAATAAGCTGTTGAGGTAAAGATGGCTTGTGTGGGCTGTTTAAATATTGAATGTTTGTTAAGTAAAAAAAATTCCCATTAAGAGTTCCCAAAAAGAGTCCATTATAATGGGCTCCTAGTTCAATTTGAAATTTCAGGCTAAGGCAGTGTCGGAATGAGAGTAACGATTGTACTGTATCCCGAAATGTCACCTTTTGATAAACTTCCTCTCCCTCCCTTTCACACACTGTACTACTTTCACGCTCTGGTCTCTCTCATTTGAATATGTGATATGATCCTATTGTTCTCACTGTCGAAATTCTGTCAGCTTATCGTAAAAATCAACATTTCTAACGTTTCTCGTCGTAATGCTGATCTTGCGTTTTTCAAATTTGCCTTAAAATCAAGGCATTTAAATCAAGGCATTTTCCGCTTTGAAAAGCCTCATTATGTTCGGAAAATAACGGGAAGGACATACGAATGGATTACAAAGCCCATTGAACACGAAACAATAACTTATTGTTATTATTATTATTATTGGCAAATTTGAAACACGCAAGAGAAGAAATAAAGTTTGGTTCTCTATTACCAGAGCTTTACGGACAACACGAGTAACGAACATTGCAGGATGTGAAAGTCCATCTCGATCCCCCAATCTACGATTTTCTTTGCCAAAATACCGCAACTGAAGAACACCGCCACTCCCAATCCTCCCCTCCCCTCCCCCCTCAAGGTATCGACGGGCGCTTCAAAATGCCCACGGCTTAGCGTAACAGGATGACTCTAAAGTTCTGCAAAGTATAAAGAACAAACTCACTCCAATACATTGAAATTACGAAATACGATTTATCTCTTTTCTCTCGCATATGGCAAAGGAGATTTTAACAAGAAATTACACGAGATTGATACAATACCGAAAATCACGGTTTGTCCGTTTCAAACCAAACTTCCGCAATATAAAATTTGCAACCTTGATTCTCTAGCTTCCTCAAAGAACGCAGCACGCCGCTCCAATGTCGCTTCTGTTTTCCTCAAGCGTTTCCTATACTCACTAGAAATAATCACCAACTTTTGCTGGGAGAATCTTACCTTCTTTCCAGCAGCTACCGGTGCTCTTCTTGCGGTCTACCACAGCGGCACTCGTTGAAGCTAAATTTTGGATCAACACAAAAACAGTCACAAGCAGTAAATTAGGAGCTAGTCGTAAAGAACTCATTAGGCAATGGACCGGCTCCCTCCGGTTATTAGACGCAGATAGAGTTTTGAAGGAAAGTATTACCGAACGCAAAGTCTTAAGGGCTAACGAGGGGGTCACTACTGCGTTTTATACCGCACATCAGTCGTCTTAAGCTGGCATTTATACCTCCTTAGGCGGTTGATTATCCTTTTTCTGGAATACTTGGGTTATTGTCATACCTCACGTAGAAAGTAAACTGAATTGATAAATAAATAAACTTACATGGTTTCTGCAGTCTCACCTTGCGGGGGACGCTACGGCTATACGTAGGCTCACTGCAGTGATTAATGAAGCCTCATATTAAACGCCACAGGGCAGATTTTAGGTTAAGAACTCATTACCGAATTGGCGTCACGTAGCACTTTATAGTTACTCAGGATCATTCAGTTACATGGGATCATTCACCACATTCACCACAATCTACAGGTTTTCACTAATTTTCCAAAGTCGATGATGGCATATTAGTTTCACTGATATTAAGGATGAAGTCAGAGTAAAGAAATAGCTCAGAAAAAAGTAACAGTGTAGAACTATGTAGCACTGTGGCAATGCTTACTGTAAATTACAGTTTTGATAAAGTGTCACCTACGTTACTTATCGTTAATTTGCATAACTAGTGCTCTCAAGCGTGAGACAGTAACATGAATTTTTTTTCCTTTTATTTCTAGAATTTTTTAAGAGAATTAGTGCCCTTGTGGAATAAATCCAAAAAGCTTATGATTCCGCTCAAAAAGAGCAGGTTCGTAGTATTTTCCCTGTTTAAAAACTTTTTCCTCGCTGCTCTTAGAGCTACCACGGGCCAACCACAATATATTTTCGTGGTTAATAATTGTTGACATAGGACGAACAAAATCTAGAGGGTCATGAATAAAGCCCTGACAATTGCGAATTTAAATTACATCTCGGTCTGAATATCTCTATAAAGTTAAATAAACTGTTAATCAACTTATTTGTGGTATTTCTTTTAGCCTTCATTGGCCGTTTGAAGTGTCTTTTACCAAATTACTTTTGGCCGAAGGCTGTTGAGAGAAGGGAGACAAGGCTTGCAACTTAGTGGCCGCCAGCCGCGACCTCCCCTACTTCAAACTGGAATTAATGCCTAAAAATCTCTCCTAACTGGTGACGGTTGTTGATCTCTGAGATATTGCTCTATGTCTTCGCCAAATTTGAGCTTCATCCCTCAGACATTTTCTGAGAAAATCGATCCTGAAATGAAAGAATGTAGCTTTCTAAATATGATCGGTGCCAAGCTCTGCGACCAAAGCATGCAGGCTGTTTCAAATTTTGTGCAGCAACTTCCCTTGGCAACCCTCCGTGGTTCAATCCAGGCCGAGCGCTGATTGCTTAATTTGAAAAGGCCTTCATCCTATCCTTCTACCGTTCCTATTTCTACAAGAACTTAAAATATATTGAAATTCACACGGCAACCAGGTGGACAATCAGACATGGTTTGATGCTACTCTGGTTTACAGATTTAATGAATGTAACCCAAGAAGTTACATTTCATAGACCCAACGTTTCGACACTCCTGTCTGGTGCCTTCACCAGGGGTGAACTAAACGCTGCAACAAGAGGTCCTTTTATATGATCTCAAATTAGCTGCCTTTTTTTTTTCTGACGAGGTGTAAACAGTCGTCAGGAAGCAAGCCGCCTTCGACACGATTTAAAGAAGCGTGGGCGGAGTTGAAGTTAAAGTTGCTCAAAAACCTTTTCAGACTTTAGGGCATATTTTCGCCAAACTTAAGGAACCTATCACGAAAGAACAACGAACCGACGCCATTTATTCAATTCCCAGCAATGACTGTGACAACGAGTACATCAGACAGACCAAACGTTAGTTTGGTACACGTTTGAAAGAGCATCAACAAGCGGTTTTCTTTTACAAAAAGGAAAATTCAGCTTTATCGGAGCACACATGCCCAACTAACCATACAATTGAGTGGGATAATTCTACAATTATCACCACTAATTGGCGTTACCCACAGTATGAAATCGCAAATTTACGCATTTTTAACTCGGCTTACGTAAAGAAACGTAAATATAAAGCCTTTTCTTTACGGACAAGTTTCACGTTCCGTAAAGATGCGTAATTGCAAAGGAAGCGTAAAGACTGCGTAAAGGATATTAAATGTTCGTAAAGGATAAGGATCAAGAGGGATATAATTAACCACTTTCAATTTGGAGAAATACTCAAAGAAGTGAAATAATTATGGCTCATCCATCTTCAGTAGAGTTATCGAGGTATTTTGACCAGTTTCGCTTTTAACTCTTTACTCGTCTGTAATATTCTTTACGCATCTTTACCCGCTGTTCTTTACGAACCTTTTAAATTATTTAGCATTCTTTACGCACAATCAATCTTTACGCGCCATTAATTCTCTCTACGAATCCTCAACGACCCTTAACTTTTCCTTCGCATAATCAGTCTTTACGTGCTTTTAATTCTTTTTCAGCATCTGTATTCTGTCTTTTACACCGGTTCTAAACTTTCTGTTCGCATGAATATGTTTAAACTACCTTTTTTTTTACGCGCGTTCAAACTCATGATCAGGAAGTTGTCGTGATGAGACAATCATTTTTTTTTTTTCCAGCAAATGGACCTTGCAATGACGTATGGAAGCGTGATGCTCTGATGTTTGTAATAATAAGATTGTCGAACTTTAAGATCCGATTGTCAATGGTTTTAGTCCTCGGGACGTTTGATGAAGAGTCCCTGGGGACGAAAATACATAGAAACGAGGCTGCCGCAGATCGGCGGAGAGTATAACAGGTGATTTAGTACAGCAAATGGTTTGAACCCGAGGTTAACATGTAATAGTGTAGTTTGATCGTCCGGGTGAGTGTAGTCCTGAGAAGGACTGTTGTCGGTAATGGTGACTGACGTTTCGACAACCTGAGCGGAAGTCAAATTGTCAAGAATTTCCGACCTTTACTCCTGGCTTTACTTTTGGCGTGTGAAGTGATCTGTGGACTCTTTTTCTTTCAAAATGTCAAGAATTTCCGACCACATCAGCGTGAGCGACAGTTATACTGTGCTACTGGATGATAGTTTGAAAGAAAACCAATCATTGAGAGAGCAATTGAGGCAGCACGATGAAGAAAATGCCTTAGTTAAAGTTCGAAGAGCTTTCAAAAAAAGTGGACTCTTTGTGTAAACTTGTCGCCGAGAACAACTCGGGCAGCAAGGAAACGGAATCAAAGAAAGGTAACTCAAAGGTCCATGTGCCTATAAGCTGTGCGAAACCAATGAGACACTTTGTATATCTATGTAAAAATATTTATATTTATGATATTTGTATTTTTCAGTTCTTTTCCCGTGTATATAAACCTCTTACGACGTTACTGTGAAAATTACAAAATCAAGTTAAAGGGTTATGACAATAATATAAATTCCAATGTATAAAACACGTGTTGTTATACATGGGTCAGTCCTTGAAAGGCATGTGTGGCATCGTTTTACAGAAGCGTAAAATATCACAAACATTCTCCATACGATTTTTGGCAATACGCACTAACATAGCGCATTACGCTGATGTTGTCACTAGCTCACATTTGTTATAGTCTGATTAGCAAAAGGGAATGTTGCCAAAAAATTCAGACAACTGCAAAATGGCAAATGGGCATGTAAATATTGTCCATTTACGATAGTTTAATAACGCGTGAAGATCGCCTTTCTGGTCGCTTTACAGTCACCGTAAAATATCGTAAATATTCTTTATACGACTTTAAACAAAGGCACGTAAAGATAACGTTTTTAGTCTCTCCGTGATCTTTACGTACTATCGTTTTCAATGCGTAAAGACATTCTTTACGAGAGTGTAAAGAAGTTCTATAAGACGCGTATAAAGGATCTTACATTTACTTTACGGCATCTTCACGGATTCGTAAATTTATAATTTTATACTGTGACCACCAGCGCCTATGTTTGGAGGCCTGGCATATTAACTCCGCCCACGCTCCTTTAAATCGTGACGATGGCGGCTTGCTTCCTGACGCCTATTTACACCTCGTCAGAAAAAAGGCGGCTAATTAGTTATCATTTAAAAGGACCTCTTGTTGCAGCGTTTGGATCACCCCTGATGAAGGCACTAGACAGGAGTGTCGAAACGTTGGGTCTATGAATTGTTACTTCTTCGGTTACATTCATTAAATCTGTAAACTGAGTACACTGTAAACTGTGTTCTTATCTTATTTAAATCAAGGCTCCAAATTTTGCTCTTCAAGGAGGTCGAGTCGTTTGAGACCTGTAGGGATCGACATACGTACGCTCTCACAAATGGAAGCCAACTGCGAAAAGAAAGAAAACATTTTGAAAGAGGCCCTTTTAAAACAAAGAATTGACTCACTCACAGAACAATTCACACAAAAGAACGGCGCGATATAAAATCTCGAGAATGTTAAGAACCTCAGCTAACGCGTTCTGCCCATGTACACTGTAAATAAGACTTCGTAAACTGAGTACAGATACTCAACTACTTGTTCACGCTCTCTCTAATGAAGAAGAACTGACCTAGATTTTTACTCCGCTTAAAAGATACTTATGTTTTGATTTGTTTCCAAACTTTTTGACCTGTTGATGTTAAACAACGGTACATTAATTGCCTTCATTAGCACAGTCTTTTTTGTGGCTTTCTGTCTAAATTAGAGGCAATTATCCTTTGGTTATGTGTGTTATCGGCTGAAACAAATCAACATAAATACACGTTTTCGTCTTGGCAAGTTCTTGTTAAAAGTTATGGCCATGAATTACGAAACGCTTCACAAAAGTTTCAAAGATCCATGACAATTCGCTCTTTGAGTGGATCATATTGATGCATATGAAACTTTTACCAAAATTTTGCAGGGTAACGAAGTGATATTCAATATGTTATTTGCGAATGCTTTCATTACAGATGCAAGCTGCAGTTACAGTGAAGTAAAATCCTTATGCGTAATAAACACTGCTATGACGCGTGCATGGGAAATGCATGTAGACTGACTGACTGATTGACTAACTGACAGAGTAACTGACTACCTTACTGACTGATTGATTATCTTGCTGGTCAGTTGACTGACAGAAACCATAAATTGACAAATAAGAATCTTCGCAAAAGTCGCCTTATTATGAATTTCTTACTTCATAGGAAACCATGGCCACCGATGGCGTAAATTCAACATATCAATTTGTAAACAACGGTTCTCCTTCCACCGGAGTTTCCAACCCTGAACTCGCGCCGTGACAGCTCTCTAAAGAACCACTGGTACATCGATATTGTCCAGCGGCTGGAGGACTTAAGTTGGAGTTATCAGACAATGGAGGTGGAGTATGCTTTTCTGGAGAAGCTCATGGCAGAACAAAAAGAGGATCTGAAAAAAGCACAAAGCTGGAACAATCGTCTCAGAAATCAGCAAAGAGCGAAGATTGTCCACTAATGGCAGATAATCGGTGAACGTTCTAGCAAACTTTTAAGTCAGCTTGTAGTACTTTTTCAAAACATTTTGGTATTATCTGGTGGACAAGACCTTTGCATGGCTTCCGATGTAATCACAAATATGAGCTATAAGCCTTCGTACATCGATCGCCAACGCATCTTCAACGCACTTATGTTGTACTCAACTATACGAATCATCAAACCAATATTTTTCAAAGAGGTTGACAAAAAAAAGTGTAGGGAACTCGGCTTTAAAAATGATTTAACTAAATCTAAACACAGAGAGCGGTTGGATCAAGAGTTCGGACAAGATAAAAACTCTCCCTGTCAAAATTTAAACTCACGAGTAAAAGGCTTTTGAGAAGGTGAGGTTAATTTAAATTTTCGCCTTTTTTCACATTTCTGAGGAAAGACCTTTAGTTCCAGCTTTAGATAAGGTTTAGTAATGACGATCCTGTAAAAAATGTAGAAATTTCATTTGAGAAAAAATTTCTCGGTTCTTCCTGCTTTCCATCTGTTTTTATCACCTAGGGTAGATCAGTTCTTGGATCAAATATTAAAGATAATAAAATTAAATGTTGGTAAGTACAATTTCAGAAGGGTGAGATGATTAAAGCTTAACCATTTTTTTTAATTCCTCCAAGGAAACGATTGATTAATTGATTGATTGATTGATTGATTGATTGATTGATTGATTGATTGATAGGAGGTTTCTCAGGTGTCATCGCATCTCTCATCGGCTGAAGTCGCTGCTGATTTCGGTTTGCGTCCATGTCGCACCATCTGCGTAGTCTTCTGCTTTCTTCGGCCTTCTTTTATTTTCTATTAAACGCTTTTTTATTTAGACTTTTTACTAAATCATGATTTTGCTTTTTGCAAGAATGGTACCATTTGTAAGCAGCTACCCCGAATAAACGCCTGGAGAGAGTTAATGAGCGCCCAGTGCTTCGAATAAGCGGAAACTGAAATGCATCAGGGGAGTATTAAAATTTCTTTAATGGCTCACAAACTATAAATTCACTCCCATATGGTACATCGTCATCTTTTGTTATCATGTATCATTTAGTTGCAAAATAAATTAACTCCTTGCTAAAAGTGGTGAAAGTTCAAGAGGCGCCTAGCCTCGAATAAGGGCAGTAAGCGCCCACATCGGATAAACGTCCCGGCTCTCAAGGTCCAAAAATTTGATAAGCGCACAGGGCGCTTAAAACAAATAAAATACGGTACTTTTCAAAGAGAGTCAGGCGCCACGTTGTTTATTATTCTTTTTAAATGAAAGTTTTTACTATATGCAAAATCTCGTGAAGAGAAGAGTATTTGCTTTGTGTGAAGGTGAACTTTAGAGGGTGGGAAAAGTTGTTTAAGATTTGAAACTTAATTATCACAGAAATGATATTATCCGTCATTTCTGTAAATTCTTCCAAAATTATCTTTGTCGGAAGTAATTTCGTAATAAAAAGAATTTTCAAACGGCCCATGAAGGTGAAAAAATACCAAAAACTAGTTGATAAATATTTTATCTAACTTTATTGAGACATTCAGACCGACCGAGGTGTAATTTAGATATGTAATTTTCAGAGCTTTATTCATAACCCTTATGGATTTCGCACGCCATATATCTGCAATTATTAACCACGAACTCATAGTGTGGTCTGCCTGTGGTCTCACCGGGAGAGAAAAGTCCTACAAAAATTTACATGGGATGGGCTTGAGATCTATTGAAAACGTTTCCTAGTCAGACGATCACCCAATTGCCCAGAAGAGCTTTGTCTACCCGAAATTCTAAATTCTAAAGCTGTCTTTCGCTCATTCCATGCTTTTAAATTGATCAAGTCAGCCAGGAAAGCCTTCTTCGATGGTTTCAGTATTTTGGTACATGTTTAGTAGCAACTGAAGGTTATGCCTCATCGAAAGTTCGCCCTTACTCTTTGTGCGTAGTAAGGGATCGAGGAAATCGCTTGGTTTGAAGAAAGAACTCTAAATGAAATATTTAAGGCCACACATCGTTATTTAATAGATGGTTTAATAGTCTCATCAATTTCCCAACTCCCACAGTCATATAACAAAACAAAAACAACAAAAACTTATTTATTTTAGTAATAAAATACATATCTAACAATCCCCACCCGCACCCGCGGGAGAGAAACAAATTCTAAAGTAAATTCTTCAATAACAAGTTTGACTCAAATAACGTATTTATTAATCAAGAAATCGACTAGACGCCAATTGAACGATTACATGTGTTCAATAAAGTGTTTTAACACTTAAAAGGTAAATCCACAGGTTTTATTTTCATTTCAGATGTTACTGGACTGGTTTTACTTGCTGTGCCAGATAAATTACTCCAGTGAATCTTTCGCTCGGCCAAGGTCCCGCTCATGTTCCTTTTTCTCTTTTTACAATAATGATAAAAACCATTGAGATTTGACGAAACAGCACATTCAGTATTGTTGATATACCACCAGCCTCCATAAATCTTATGGGTACAATGCTTGTAAATTTTGTCCCAGGTACCAAACGGGGAGCCTTTATGATCACTGAGAGAATCATTGACAGTCGCACATTCTAATAGCAATGATAAAACACCAATAATTATAACAATTGTAGTGATAAAGTATAATGATAATGATGATGATACGGCCTACGGCCTCGGGCAGTATTTTCGAGTTTGGATGTCCAGCTTCTTTTTCGTAAAAGAATTTTTACACTATTTTGTAGATTGTTATAGAAAATAGTCAGTAATAAAACAATTACTGAACTCTGTTCTCGCATCATATCATGAATTGTCAAAACACACAGGAGTCTGTGAAGTTTCCCTCAGCCCTCAGCTTCGATATAGACAAGGTTTACCCTGATACAAATTGCAAGCGTGATAGAAATCAGCTCTTCGGAGAGGCGCGCACACACTACTGTAAATATTAATTTTAATACAATCGTCACCTACATTATACATTTGATGCTTTTCTCATCTTCGCCTTCTTCCTGCTCTAGATAATGATTACCTAGAGAAAGCAGATTTACTCACTTGATTTTTTTCCGAGTTTCAGCCGATACTTGTCTTTCTTGTCTCCGATCCCAAACCACAAATATTCAGCGTAGACAGTTTGGCGTTTAGTTACTCCCATATCTACTCGAAGCCTGTTTTCTGTCTCGTTTTGCGTCAGGCGATGGATCTTCTCTAGTCCGAGCCAAAACTCTCCATTAAGGAAATCACCGAAGCCTTTTTTGTAGTCTGCCCAACCCAGGTTAAAATCCATGCAACCATCCAGTCTCCTCTGAAACACTGTCCACCCTCCTCCGTCTGTGGTTTGGTCACAATACACATTGAAGGCACCTTCACCATCAGGGTCGATTGTGTAAACACCGCTGATCGTTTGGCCGCAGTTGTACAGCTGGGCGCAATTCTTATAATAAGCTGTTGAGGTAAAGATGGCTTATGTGGGCTGTTTAAATATTGAATGTTTGTTTAAGTAAGAAAATTTCCCATTAAGAGTTCCTAAAAAGAATCCATTATAATGGGCTCCTAGTTCAATTTGATATTTCAGGCTAAGGCAGTGTCGGAATGAGAGTAACGATTGTGCCGTATCCCACAATGTCACCTTTTGACAAACTTCCTCTCCCTCCTTTTCACATACTGTGCTACTTTCACGCTCTGGTTTCTCTTATTTGAATATGTGATATGATCCTATGGTTCTCATTGTCCAGATTATCTGTCACTTCATCGCAAAAATCGACATTTCTCATCGTAATGCTGATTTTGGGTCTTGCGTGCTTCAAATTCGCCATAAAATTAATGCATTTTCTACTTTGAAAAGCCTCATTATGTCCGGAAAATAACGAGAAGGATCAACGAATGGATTACAAAGTCCACTGAGCACGGAACAATAAAGAAGAAATAAAGTTTCGTTTGCTATCACCAAAGCTATACGGACAACACAAGTAACGAACATTGCAGGACGTAAAAGTCCATCTCGATTCCCCAATCTACGATTTTCTTTGCCAAAATACCGCAACTGAAGAACACCGCCACTCCCAATCCTCCCCTCCCCTCCCCCATCAAGACATCGAAGGGCGTTTCAAAATGCCCACGGCTTAGCGTAACAGGATGACTCTAAAGTTCTGCAAAGTATAAAGAACAAACTCACTCCAATGCATTGAAATTACGAACTACGATTTATCTCTTTTCTCTCGCATATGGCAAAGGAGATTTTAACAATAAATTAAACGAGATTGATACAATACCGAAAATCACGGTTTCTCCGTTTCAAACCAAACTTCTGCAATATAAAATTTGCGACCTTGATTCTCTAGCTTCCTCAAAGAACGCAGCACGCTGCTCCAATGTCGCTTCTGTTTTCCTCAAGCGTTTCCTATACTCACTAGAAATAATCACCAACTTTTGCTGGGAGGATCTTACCTTCTTTCCAGCAGCTACCGGTGCTCTTCTTGCAGTCTACCACAGCGGCACTCGTTGAAGCTAAATTTTGGATCAGCGCAAAAACAGTCACAAGCAGTAAATTAGGAGCTAGTCGTAAAGAACTCATTAGGCGATGCACCGGCTCCTCCGGTTATTAGACGCAGATACAGTTGTGAAGGAAAGTAATACCGAACGCAAAGTCTTAAGGGCTAACGAGGGGTCACTACTGCGTTTTATACCGCACATCAGTCGTCTTAAGCTGGCATTTATACCTCCTTAGGCGGTTGAGTATCCTTTTTCTGGAATACTTGGGTTATTGTCATACCTCACGTAGAAAGTAAACTGAATTGATAAATAATTAAACAACTTACATGTCCGTTTTATACCGCACATCAGTCGTCTTAAGCTGGCATTTATACCTCCTTAGGCGGTTGATTATCCTTTTTCTGGAATACTTGGGTTATTGTCATACCTCACGTAGAAAGTAAACTGAATTAATAAATAAATAAACAACTTACATGTGCGTTTTATACCGCACATCAGTCGTCTTAAGCTGGCATTTATACCTCCTTAGGCGGTTGATTATCCTTTTTCTGGAATACTTGGGTTATTGTCATACCTCACGTAGAAAGTAAACCGAATTGATAAATAAATAAACAACTTACATGAGCGTTTTATACCGCACATCAGTCGTCTTAAGCTGGCATTTATACCTCCTTAGGCGGTTGATTATCCTTTTTCTGGAATACTTGGGTTATTGTCATACCTCACGTAGAAAGTAAACTGAATTAATAAATAAATAAACAACTTACATGAGCGTTTTATACCGCACATCAGTCGTCTTAAGCTGGCATTTATACCTCCTTAGGCGGTTGATTATCCTTTTTCTGGAATACTTGGGTTATTGTCATACCTCACGTAGAAAGTAAACTGAATTGATAAATAAATAAACAACTTACATGGTTTCTGCAGTCTCACCTTGCTGGGAGGCTACGGCTATACGTAGGCTCACTGAAGTGATTAATGAAGCCTCATATTAAACGCCACAGGGCAGATTTTAGGTTAAGAACTCATTACCGAATTGGCGTCACTTAGCACTTTATAGTTACTCAGGATCATTCAGTTACATGGGATCATTCACCACATTCACCACAATCTACAGGTTTTCACTAATTTTCCAAAGTCGATGATGGCATATTAGTTTCACTGATATTAAGGATGAAGTCAGAGTAAAGAAATAGCTCAGAAAAACGTAACAATGTAGAACTATGTAGCACTGTGGCAATGCTTTCTGTAAATTACAGTTTTAATAAAGTGCCACCTACGTTACTTATCGTTAATTTGCATAACTAGTGCTATCAAGCGTGAGACAGTAACATGAAATTTTTTTCCTTTTTTTTCTAGAATTTTTTATGAGAATTAGTGCCGTTGTGGAATAAATCCAAAAAGCTTATGATTCCGCTCAAAAAGAGCAGGTTCGTAGTATTTTCCCTGTTTAAAAACTTTTTCCTCGCTGCTCTTAGAGCTACCACGGGCCAACCACAATATATTTTCGTGGTTAATAATTGTTGACATAGGACGAACAAAATCTAGAGGGTCATGAATAAAGCCCTGAAAATTGCAAATTTAAATTACATCTCGGTCTGAATATCTCTATAAAGTTAAATAAGCTGTTAATCAACTTATTTGTGGTATTTCTTTTAGCCTTCATTGGCCGTTTGAAGTGTCTTTTACCAAATTACTTTTGGCCGAAGGCTGTTGAGAGAAGGGAGACAAGGCTTGCAACTTAGTGGCCGCCAGCCGCGACCTCCCCTACTTCAAACTGGAATTAATGCCTAAAAATCTCTCCTAACTGGTGACGGTTGTTGATCTCTGAGATATTGCTCTATGTCTTCGCCAAATTTGAGCTTCATCCCTCAGACATTTTCTGAGAAAATCGATCCTGAAATAAAAGAGTGTAGCTTTCTAAATATGATCGGTGCCAAACTCTGCGACCAAAGCATGCAGGCCGTTTCAAATTTTGTGCAGCAACTTCTCGTGGCAACCCTCCGTGGTTCAAAACCAGGCCGAGCGCTGGCTGCTTAATTTGAAAAGGCCTTCATCCTATCCTTCTACCGTTCCTATTTCTACAAGAACTTAAAATATATTGAGGTTCACACGGCAACCAGCTGGACAATCAGACATGGTTTGATGCTACTCTGGTTTACAGATTTAATGAATGTAACCCAAGAAGTTACAATTCATAGACCCAACGTTTCGACACTCCTGTCTGGGCCTTCACCAGGGGTGAACTAAACGCTGCAACAAGAGGTCCTTTTATATGATCTCAAATTAGCTGCCTTTTTTTTTCTGACGAGGTGTAAACAGTCGTCAGGAAGCAAGCCGCCTTCGTCACGATTTAAAGAAGCGTGGGCGGAGTTGAAGTTAAAGTTGCTCAAAAACCTTTTCAGACTTTAGGGCATATTTTCGCCAAACTTAAGGAACCTATCACGAAAGAACAACGAACCGACCCCATTTATTCAATTCCCAGCAATGACTGTGACAACGAGTACATCAGACAGACCAAACGTTAGTTTGGTACACGTTTGAAAGAGCATCAACAAGCGGTTTTCTTTTACAAAAAGGAAAATTCAGCTTTATCGGAGCACACATGCCCAACTAACCATACAATTGAGTGGGATAATTCTACAATTATCACCACTAATTGGCGTTACCCACAGTATGAAATCGCAAATTTACGCATTTTTAACTCGGCTTACGTAAAGAAACGTAAATATAAAGCCTCTTCTTTACGGACAAGTTCCACGTTCCGTAAAGATGGGTAATTGCAAAGGAAGCGTAAAGACTGCGTAAAGGATATTAAATGTTCGTAAAGGATAAGGATCAAGATGGATATAATTATCAATTATCAATTTGGAGAAATACTCAAAGAAGTGAAATAATTATGGCTCATCCATCTTCAGTAGAGTTATCGAGGTATTTTGACCAGTTTCGCTTTTAACTCTTTACTCGTCTTTAATATTCTTTACGCATCTTTACTCACTGTTCTTTACGAACCTTTTAATTTCTTTACGAATCCTCAACGACCCTTAACTTTTCCTTCGCATAATCAGTCTTTACGTGCTTTTAATTCTTTTTCAGCATCTGTATTCTGTCTTTTACACCGGTTCTAAACTTTCTGTTCGCATAAATATGTTTAAACTACCCTTTTTTTAACGCGCGTTCAAACTCATGATCAGGAAGTTGTCGTGATGAGACAATCATTTTTTTTTTTCCAGCAAATGGACCTTGCAATGACGTATGGAAGCGTGATGCTCTGATGTTTGTAATAATAAGATTGTCGAACTTTAAGATCCGACTGTCAATGGTTTTAGTCCTCGGGACGTTTGATGAAGAGTCCCTGGCGACAAAAATACATAGAAACGAGGCTGACGCAGATCGGCGAGAGAGTATAACAGGTGATTTAGTACAGCAAATGGTTTGAACCCGAGGTTAACATGTAATAGTGTAGTTTGATCGTCCGGGTGAGTGTAGTCCTGAGAAGGACTGTTGTCGGTAATGGTGACTGACGTTTCGACAACCTGAGCGGAAGTCAAATTGTCAAGAATTTCCGACCTTTACTCCTGGCTTTACTTTTGGCGTGTGAAGTGATCTGTGGACTCTTTTTCTTTCAAAATGTCAAGAATTTCCGACCACATCAGCGTGAGAGACAGTTATACTGTGCTATTGGATGATAGTTTGAAAGAAAACCAATCATTGATAGAGCAATTGAGGCAGCACGATGAAGAAAATGCCTTAGTTAAAGTTCGAAGAGCTTTCAAAAAAAGTGGAATCTTTGTGTAAACTTGTCGCCGAGAACAACTCGGGCAGCAAGGAAACGGAATCAAAGAAAGGTAACTCAAAGGTCCATGTGCCTATAAGCTGTGCGAAACCAACGAGACATTTTGTATATCTATGTAAAAATATTTATATTTATGATATTTGTATTTTTCAGTTCTT